TATATATTCCAATTTTGGGGTCAGTATTGAAGGTCTTATGGTCACCAAGCCTGGATTTATTCGATCAAAAGTACAATAAAAACAGAAATATTGTGAAATATTATTACAATAACTGCTTTCTATTTTAATTTATTTTAATGTAATTTATTTATGTGATGCAAAGATTAATTTTCAGCATCAATACTCCATTCTTCAGTGTCACATGATCCACATGCTGATTTGCTGCTCAAGAAACATTTCTTATGAATGTGGAAAACAGTTGTGCAACTTAATATTTTTGTGAAAACCCTTTTTTAAAAAAAAAGAAAAGAAAAGAAAAGAAAATTAATATTTTGTAACATTATAAATGACTTTCCTGTCACTTTTGATCAAATAATGCATATCCCTGTGGAATAACATCCAATTTCTTAAAAAAAAACAAAACAATTATAATAATCTTACTGACCCTAAACTTAAAAATTTGATATTAGTGCATCCGTAGTTACAACACAACTCCTCTTTGAAAACCTGCATGATCTGAGGTATCATATATATCTGTAGGATGTTTTATGCGCCAAAGTTTAATACTTAGGTTAGGGTTATATTACTAACCCCAAGTATGAGCAAAACAAATACTTATGCAAACACCACTAATTACATGTTACAGTACCACTATCTCACTCAAAGGGCGCTGAATTCAGAGAGTGTGAATGGATGTCACTCCTTATATATCTTATTCAGAACACTCTATAATGTAGTAATGATGTGTTGAAAGATTTTTACACAAAGTATAGGATCTCTTTACAATATTTCCGATTAAGTTTTCACAACATGGCAACATTTTTATCTCATGGTCATTTTGACAAACAAGCATCTTATTCCCACTGTTAGGTTTGATTAACATGACATTAATCATTGGCTAATTGTACATTAGCAGCATTTAAAATAACACTAGAAATATTCTGCCCCATGTCATGTTTGCCCTGATACTGGTTGCCATTGGACAAAACATAAAGAGCTTTATCATGTCATTTCCTTTTATACAGAAGAATAACAAAACAGAAATCATTTTAAATAAGAATCCTCAATCGCATAAGGAAAATTGTAAATAGAGAAACACGGAGACTGTATTCCAAGTTAAATCCTCTGGTTTTCATGGCTTTGCAGAAACAGCTTATTCGAGATAATAGCAATCCCTAAAACTCATTTTGGATTTTGGATAAAACTCTTCACCAGTACGTACCACTTATCAGCTACAAACAAGGCAGGCCATTTAGACAATATTGACCATTACTGATTTGGCACAACAAACTACAAGCTTTATAAAGCCATATACACTAACTGTACCTCTAATAACCCCTTTCTGACAAAATAAATATGCTCCAATGAGATACTGTCTACACCTCAATAATTATTGACATTTAAATACTGTTTATGACACTTTCTACATATTGTAAACAAAGATTTTATTCCCCCCCCTAACAAATGATTCAGTGACAGAAGGAAAAATGGTCAGAAAATGTTGATCATCATGCTCAGGAGGTCAAACTAAAGTTTCTATTTATGTCAAGTTTAGCACTTTTGAAGACATCTAAATAGTTTTTGATTTGTGTGATTTCATTTTTTTTAATTAAATGTGTAACGTTACTCTTTTTATACAGGATTATGATTTTTCATTTACAATTTGGGAGAACTAGGACTGAAAAAACAGATTACAATATTATCATAAACAAAGTTACTGATATCAACTTACCAGTTGAGCAGATTTTTCAGCATCTCCTTTTCTTCCTTTCTTCTCATTTTTCTTTCGGAAGATTTCTTGCAACTAAAAAAAGAAATAGAGAAGGAATAATGACGAGTTGAAAAATTCTTTTTAAAAACAAACATCTATGGACAGAATCAACACTCTTATCAACTCACCACAAGAAATTCCCCTTTATCCACCATCTGGTTACCGTCAGCATCAAACATGTTAAAGGCAATCTTAAAGCCTGCATGAGGCTCTGAAGAACAGTTGTGAAAAGAATGTCATATTATTATAATAAGCTGCGGCATGAATTTAACGAAACAATAGGATGTATAAATATATTTGCTAATTGAGCACTGCAAATTTTGCAGTCGATCTGTTAACCACTATTAAACATTCAACCACTAGGTGGCTTAATCAGAGGACAGGCCCACATTTCTAAGAACCTGTTATCACCCCAAGAACTTGCAATACACTTTTGCTTTCACCACTTTCCTTTCATCACTCTCTTCAGATGTTTTTGAACCCGTCAAGAGCAACATGTCTTCACTTTGTAATGTTGCCCAAGCAACAGCAGAAGTGAGAACATATGTTAGGCAGCGTGTTTCTGTGTTACAGCTACTTAACACTAGCTTAATCAAACGGCCACAGACAACTCTGTACGAATGTAAAATCATAAACTAGATCTACTTAATGGGTTAGTTCACCCAAAAATGAAAATTCTGCCATTAATTACTCACCCTCGTGTTGTTCCAAACCCGTAAAACCTTCGTTCATCTTCGGAACACAATTTAAGATATTTTTGATGAAATATGAGGGCTCTCTGACCCTCCCATAGACAGCAAGGTAACTACCACGTTCAAGGTCCAGAAAAGTACCAAGATGATCGACAAAGTAGTCCGTGTGACATCAGTGGTTCAACTGTAAAGTTACGAAGCTAAGCGGACACGCCAGATCTGGGTCAGTGCCGCCACACGCTCGTGAACGCGCATCCACAAGTGACGCAGTAGAGACGAAAATGTGGAATAAAGTCGTTTTCATCCAAAAATATCTTAAACTGTTTTTTGAAGATGAACGAAGGTCTTACGGGTTTGGAACAACACGAGGGTGAGTAATTAATGACAGAATTTTCATTTTTGGGTGAACTAACCCTTTAACATCTCAGTTATTCCTCCTAAACACTGAATGGAGAACAAATGAAGACTTTTAATCATGTCTCCTGATTATATGTGAATAAGGGAAAATGCATACTTTACAAATGCAACATTTCATTTACGTTTTTTCCCTCACTAGTTACATTTTGTGGTGTGAAAATTATTTTTTTTTAATGAAAATACATTACCCATTTTTGAAACATCCTAACTTACAAACAAATATTTTTACTGACAATTGGAGATAAAATCTAGGAAATGCTACACTTTTTGGGTAATATGTAAGTTTAGGAATACTCTTTAGATAAAGCAAATATATGTATTTATATTTCTTCCAAACAATTTTATAAGAAACATTTGACATTTAAATAAGATATAACTGAGAACTTTGCGACCTCTGAGCAGCAAAATCTTCCTTTTGCATAAAGTCAAGTCTGAAACTTTAATTATGCAGTGAGTAAAATGTGGCTTCAGTGAAACTTTTTTTGGTGAGGGTGAGAGTCTGGGTGGGCCTTGCGAACCACACTAGACGTAAAACAGATGATCTTTGATTCATGTTTAAAATAGGATACATGCATAGTGTGCTGATTTAAAAAAAAGAAGGGCACAGAAAAAATAAAGCATGGGATAAGAATGAAAAGTTAAGGGAGGGAGACAGAGATAGAAAAGACTGAGAGATAGAGGTCATACTCACTTGTCAGAATGCAGAGCAGAAAGAGATACTCAGTGTAAGCGATGATGCCTGAAAAAGGATATCAAAGGGTCACATCCATTCTGCTAATGTACAGTAACACACTAACAACCTACAACCTTTTTCTTTTACTCTTTGTCTAAACTGAAAACTCGGGAGGCGGCTCATCTGAAGCTTGGATTAAAATGTTTACTGATTTTCAAAGCTAGGGGCCTCCAGAGATAGATGGAGTCACATACCCTTTTCCCTTCTCCTGCTCCAACAAAAAAAAAAAAGGACAAGTAATCCCCCCTTTCATGATGATAACATCTAAAAAGGTGCCTCTCAGCTAAAGTGTCCGTCTACATTTAGGCAACATTTGCCCCGCGTTTGGCCCACACACTGAAGCTGAAGACACAGTGAGTGACCGCCATGGAGACGGAGGCTGCATGCGTTCAAAGGCTTCTGTTTGGATAAGGGTGTTCTGGAGGCATCCGTCAGGACTGGGAGATGTGCCCCATTTAGACAGGGAACTGTCCCTGCTTTTGTTAGACTCGTGAGAAAAGCGGCAAAGTGGAGTACGAAGGAAAGAGAGAGTGAGAGTCAAAAGAAAAGCCAAAAAGAGACAAAGCGAGGTGGGCTGATGGAAAGATGGAAGTTCTGTTATGTAAAGGCACTGGGGGAGGGCAGCGAGAAGGGATACGTTTTCCTACACCTCCATTGAAAGTGTTCCTCTCCACAGCTTCTGTGTGAAGGGGGACATGGAGACAGTACTAGGCATAGAGATAGTTCAGGGTGAGTGGACTGAGTGTTACGGGACACTGCCTGGGTGTCTTCGGGAGGAAAACCTGACACTGAAACTTCAACCCAACACCCGCAGTCTCACACACTCACTCAAGCAATACAGAGGCATTCAAAGTCCACTGAGCAAGACAACCCGAGCCAGAAGAGACAATCAGATTGGAAAATTTGGGCATAATTTACTTAAGTTTCCTTAGTTATTCTCTTTGCCAGACCAGATGTTCAATTGAAACTGACATCTCCTATTGTGTTTCATGGAATACAGTAAATAATACAGGGTTCATAATGACATAAATGATGCATACATTTTCATTCTTAGGCAACTATTCCTTTACAATACTCTGAGAATTCTGTGGCTGACATTAGAGCTGAAGACTCGGGGTCAAAGGTTATCCCTGGGGATCTAAAACAAATTTAAAGACATTAATATATGTCTAAAGCTGCTTTAAACTGGTAAAACGTGGCTTTTTAGCTGCAGACATTTTGTTAATGTTTACATGGTGCTTACATATGTAGTAAATCTTTGTTTTGAGCAGGGCCCCTTAAATGAAGAGGCGCTGTATTACATTCCATTCATTCCTGTTCAATACAGTCTCAATACTAAGCCTGTCTCCTAGAGATGCATTAAGTTTAAATGCTAAATCTGATGTGTTTGTATGAGATGATTCATACTTTTAAAGGTCCGCATACCGAGCGTTCTCAATTTACAATGCAAAAACACTGGCATGAGAAGAAAGGTCTGGTTCCCGAACTGGATGCATGACAACATCAATGGAAAATATTTGCAGAATTTTTGTAATAAAAACAACAAACACCACAAATGAGCTCTGTATGGTATTCTTTTATACAGTCTGTATTAGTGGTTCTCCACTGCTTTAGCAATATTTGATTTTAAGGACTTTTTTTTTTTAATCTACAAATATTAAAATATCAAATATTAAACAGAACTGCACAGGTTCGACATTAAGATGAGGATGAGGACGTCACATAACCTGTCTATGTTGTTCAGGGTTTCTGCACACTTTCTGAAGGTACATTTAAGACCAATTAAAGAAAAAGAAGGAATACATTAAAGGGAACATAATATGTCAATATGTTCATGGAGCAGTAATAATAACTTCCAACAGATCTCCATTACTTTTAACTTCATTTTACAAATAAAAAATAGCTTAATTAGAACATGGAAATATTTTCTATACCTTCTGATTACACTGCAAAAAGTGATGTTCTTCCTTGGTATTTTTGTCTTGTTTTCCAGTGATTTCAAATCAAGGTACATTCAGAAGCAAAATGATATAAGAAGTCTTGTTTTCTGAGAAAATGATAACGAAGTGAGTTTATGATTAAAACAAGAATAAATATCTGCCAGTGGGGTTACAAAATACACTTAATCCAAAGAGTAAACAAGTTTTCATACCATATACCATAAACTTGTTTTAAGCATAAATCAAATTTGTTCAATTTCTTAGGAAACAAGACTTCATATCTTTATTTTGCATCTCAAGAAAATGTATCTTGATTTAAGAATGTTTAGATATTTGGATTGGAAAACAAGACAAAAAGGGAGACATTCATTTTTTTGTAGTGCACACAACATTTAATGTCGTGACTTTACAGTAACATCTGATGAATTTAAGACTTTCTGCTCTGATTTAAGACCTTTTTAGATCCTTAATTTGTGAACCTGCATTTTAAGACCTGCAGAAACCCTGGTTGGCTGGTTTCTACCAACTGATAGAATTTTTCCAAACATACCATTTAATTGGATGAATGACCTTTGACATGAAGCCATGAAAAGGTATGGAAAAAGTTCTCATCGTTTCTTAAAAAGCCTGTTTAGTTGCTATCATAGCAATGCATAACTGCATTTATTTTTATTTTTTATTTTATATTAATACATTTATTACTTTATTATTTGCAGTTGCAAATAAAATTCAAACATAATAAACTATGAAGGACAGGGTGCTGTTTTTTTTTTTTTTTTTTTAAGACAATCTAAATAAATAAATTAACAACAACAACAACAATACATTATTAAAGAAACAGCCATGCACAAAGATAATAAATAAATAATCAGATAAATCATTTATTATATTATAAATGAATCAATAATAAATATATAAATAAATAAATAAATAAAATAAATATTTAAAAAAATAAAATAAAATACGGAAACATATATTTGCTTGTGGGACCAGAACAATCATTACTTGGTGTTAATTTCCTAACTATATGGTTTTCTCAAAGTCATATTTAAGATTGTGCTGCAACATTTTTAACTTCCCATGCCTCCTTCTAGTTCTTCACTAAGACTTCCCTTGAGTTTGCATCCTCTTAGAAACTGCTCCTTAGAGACCTGAGCACATTCACGGATCTCGTTAGCATAGCTTCCTCAATTAACATTTGCATGCTATCATTACCACAGCTTGAGATCAGACGCCGTGTCAAGCTGAAGCTTCTTGAGTACAGGCATCTTCTGGATGCATGGCTCCACATCAGTGAAACCAACAAGATAAATGTACTGCCGCCAACTTAAGGTGATGGTTTCAAAAACGGTAATTACTACTAGGAAGAACAGAATTCAGAGGGTTTATTTTTAGAGTCCTGCTGTACTGTAAGAGTGTGGAGTGTGTGTGTGTGTGTGTGTGTATAATTATCACCGCTGGGAATTAGCTGGTGGTGTGAGCAAGTGCTGTTACGTACTCCACAAGCAAATACTTTAATTGTGGCTGTGCTGCTGAAGAACTGCTCGCTTCTGCAGTTATTTCAACAAAGTATTAATGCAATTCTGCACTCTGTTTTTAGGTTTCAATCCTCGTTTTGGTCAGCAGGCACGTATTTTGCCTGGAGAATGTATGTTGCACTGGACCAAGCGAGAGAATGAGAGAGAGGAAATGGAAAGGGTGAGAGAGAGGGAGACGTAGAGAGTGAACTGAGCTATTTTTAGGAGTGCTCACAGGAAGTGAAAGCCTCAGGCCTGTGCTTAACTGGTGCTTGACTGGTACCCACTGAGAGAGAGCAAGCAAGAAAGAGAAAGAGAAAGAGACAAGAATGGCGAGGACAATTCAGCATCACTCTAGAAAAACTCTGAAGGACTGGATTTGATTTCATATGATTCTGTACAGCCATCACAAAACTGAGAAATAATTTTTCGCCCTATTTTTCTCTTCCCATGCTCTTACAAAAAGAAATAAAATGATGATACTATGGTACACTGATCAGGTGGTAATACCATGGTACATTGATACTGAATGTTAAATGAATTCTATATTCATATTCCATGGTCTTTACTTGGTATATGAATAGATAATTCAAAGAAGGTCAAGACAAACAAACAAAAAAGAATGGTAATACCATGGTACTTTTAAGAACAGCATACTTAAATCATATCTTATTTCTTTTTTGGGGAATTTTTACATAATATAATTTTGCACTACTGTAAAAATCAGCATATTAGAATGACTTGTGAAGGATCATGTGACAAATGCGGACTACAATACCTGCCGGTGCCGAGACTCTAATCCACGATCTTTGGGTTACAAGTCCGACTCTCTAACCATTTTACTGTATTTTTGATTAAATAAATGCAGCCTCAAAAACGTACTGATCCACAAAGAGTATGTATATTGAAAGACAGCATAGTCATTGCTGATTTATAGCCATATATATATTGTTTCAGTTCTAGTGAGTTGGAATGCAAAACTCACCTCGTTCCCGAAGGTTCCGGAACAGCTTGGATGTTCCTTTCCACACTGGTGGAGTGTCGGACAAGATCTTCTCCAACTCCTGTAAAACATGACAAAACATACTATATGGGATAAATGATTCACTCTTAGGACTGTACATACAATGAAATGCAAATCTAAATATTACCTGTAAATAATAATTTAACTTTGCTATCACATCTACATAGCATGCATTACAAATAAATTTACAACATACCTGTTTGGTGAGGGACCTCCAAGGTTTCTTCACTAAGAATAACAGACAGACAGAAACAGAAAGAGGGTGGCCGGTGAGATAAGATCAATTATTTATCAATCAGACAAAACAACAAGATTTTTGGAGTAGCATTTTTTCCTTTTTTGAGCAGATGCAGTTCACTGTCAGAGTACAGTAGAAGAGCTGGGCTAAATTTGATTATGCTCTCTCATGGCAACCAGCCCCATGGAGCTTTGCTGAGAGGCTCAGTTTGTCCTACTGGCTTTGCTTCAGACATAACGCAACTATCAAAAACTATTTTTGTGCTATATGTTGAGAGAAAACTAAAAGCACGATCAGCTCCTTCCTGTCTCCTTGTAGCACTGTCTTAAGCATCTTGCATTCGAGACACTGCAGTTTATTGCTCTGGCCACATCTGCAGTCCTCATGTCACCCCGTAGCAGGACTAAGGTATGTTCACGCAGGTGTTCAGAGACCCTGGGTGTCAGAGTCAGTAGGTCTCTTTAATGTCCTAAGTTATTATTACAGTGACTTTATACCACCTGTAAACCGTAAATGTCTTAAGGACTGGTCCACATATGCATGTACAAAAAACATTTGTGGTTCATTGAACAAGTATACAAATATTGTTTGTTTAAACCCTTTCCAATAAAGATTTTATAAAATTATCTTTAAAGTACAGTATCTTGAAAAGAGGACTACAATAGGGTTTTGCAGGTATTTTAATGGATGTCATGCTATTTTCATATAAGATTAATGTCTGTTGTGTTTCCCGTGGAACATTTAGACATTTATTGTATCAAGACCTGCACTTCAAAGCACAGTAGAGATTGAATCCAGCTAAGTAATAATTAAGCACTTCTGTGGCTCTCTTGCACAGCTTTGATCTGATCCATTAAGACCCATTAATGACTTTTGTTTCTAATATGTATTAATTAGACTATAGTAGCAAACCATTTATTAGATCAAGGCCCAACAACAAACCATTTAATTCACAATGATGTTTTAATTAAACATTACATCTCCATAAAAATGGTAATATTTTACAAAAATGCTGTTTAATGTGCATTATGAAGTACTGGGGAGAAAGAAGACAGTCAAATTTTCCCTTTATATACCATGCCCTACAGTATGATTGTCGTTTTACCATTTTTATCTTAAATAATTTAGTAAAAGAAGGATACCTAGACATCTTGCTCATGTGTAAGTTGCTTTGGATAAAAGTGTCTGCTAAATGAATAAATGTACAAACACAAAGATTTGAGTTAGGTCTGTGTGAAACAAGTTTTACTTAAATGGTTTGAGAAGACCACATTAGGTGATTTGCAGACCATCAAGTACTTCCATAAAGAGAGATATGCAACTATTGGTCCAAATAAATAAGTTTAGTTCATTTTTTAAGGCAATAATTTTGCATTTTTAAAGTAATGTCATCTAATCAGATTTTACAGTAAAGAGCCTTGAAGTTTGCTACTTTTCCTAGTTTGAATGAAATATAATTCTAGAGCTTAGAAGAAGCACATGTACACATCAGAAATATGTTACTCACTGCGGGGTTCGCTCATGGTGACTGACTCGATGAAGTTCTGAGGAGTCATGTACAGCTGTCCTTCATACTCCACTGAGCTGAAGAGGCGGAAACGATGCTCATGAGACGTCATGTACACGTCACTTTCATCAAAATCAAAAGGTGGAGCCTGCAAGGACCAACGACAAGCAATACAATTAGTTAAGACTTTATATTTTTTCAAAGCCGTTGTTTTTATCATCTCTGTAAAGTCATAAATCTTAAACTAAAATGTTGTTAGAGTTAAATGGCTAATTATTATTTGTAGTGTCGCTGTCTTTGTTCAATCAGGATGAACAGATATCATATCTCAAAGACATCAAAAGGTCATCATGAAAGGCATTGAGTGTAATTGTTAAGCCTTTTTGTGTCATGAAAGCTTTTTGTGTATTTTTTTTCTCACTGGTACACTTGTGCATTATTGCCATGCTGTATGTATATGTATATATATATATATATATATATATATATATATATATACTAAAATACATATATTTAGATTGTAGTTATAAAATAAAAGATTAAATAAAATATAAATTTTAAAATAACTTTTTATACACATACAAGTATAAAATATACACAGATTTAGATTGTATTTATAAAATCTACCTAAATACCTTATAAAATAACCTTTATAATATAATAAAAGAAGTTCTTCAAGTATTTTGAATTTTTTTTGTAATAACATTCAAAATGTTTTTGAATAATAAATTCTCTATGGAATCATGTCATAAGTAAAAAGACTTTTGTTTTCATTATAATTTTATATGTAAATATAAATTAAATTACATTACTGCATCAAAAACATGAACACACATCATTACGCTGTCATGTTGGATAATGTATTTTATGATGTAAAATGACCTTAATATTTTAATGGATCAAACAACACTTGAAAAACACATAGATTTGTATATGTAGGAAAAACATAATCTTTTGTCTCTATGAAATAAGGGTTTAAAGGGTAACGCACACAAGGGATGAAAGCACTTGAACTGCAACCCTGAACTGCAACGTTTCCACTCCAATCAGGAAAACATTTAGTTACTAAGTGGAACAGTCAGACCAAAACATCTGGCAGCCCATGGAAACCAAACCTGACTGTCTGCCAAAGGAACAAAAATCCCAAAAATATGTTTATATGCACGTGCCAAAGAATTCTGTACTTAGATATGACAGCTCAACGCTGACAGGGTACAGATTACTGTTTGACAGGCCTCTGTGATACAACACAGATAGGTGCATAGCTGTTTTATCCAACCTTAACGCTTAAGATATGTGATCTGAAACAGTCACTCGTGAGCGCAGGCATTTCAGCACCATGACAGAGGAAAGCGCCCTTCTTCCTGCTGCTGCAGCATCACACAAATGCGCATTGTCATCCGAGCTTTACGACTGTTTGAGTGCGCAAGCAAAACAATTCACCAAACTCTACGGCGTGAAAGCTTAACAACAGTTCACAATCCCTGCCCCACTAGCAGTTTCATAGATTTGACAGTAAAAAAAATCCTTGCCAGGAGAGAGGGGGACAAAACCTAATAGGAAGCAGTGTTACGTGGCACTGAGAGGAACAGTCATACCTTATCCTTTGCGGCTACAGCGGGTAGTGAAGGCAGCAGAGCCCGACAGCCTATTCCATTTATCATGGCTTTCCTCCCTCTATATCCGCACATTTCTGAATAAAAATAATACAACACCGCTCCTCCGGCCGCAACGCCCACAGCAACCGCTATTCCTCGGCGTCTGCATCGGTTATCCTTCACGGGAGAACCAAAAAGCGCATTCCGCGAAGCTGACGACAGCGACAAACTCCTAAATATGACCCCCAGTCTGCGCACAGCGGCCATTATTGTTGGTATGACAGAATTTGTGCAAGATTCCCGAATTCTCATTCATTCATCGCGAGATGTGCTGATCCCTCACCGGGATCACCCAGACCAGAGCAGCAGCAAGTCCAATAAGTATGCCATCTGTGCTCATCTGTAAACTTATATGAAAAATGTACGTGTTTACGCACTCTGAATAAATGAAAGCGGTTGACAACGCACATGTATGGCTATAATTATGGGGCGGGTCTAACTCCCAGGCTTGAACCCCTCAAAAGAAGTCAAAACAAAAGGTCGGGGTGTCTCTTTTACAAAAAAGTATGCGTTACAAATTAATTTATAACTATTATAAGTTGGTTAAAATGCGCTAAACAAGTCGCGTTCAACAGGAGGTAACCATAGCAACAGTACACCGATACGTCGATAAAACATAGATACAAATAAATTTAACTTATATACTTTCATATAACAGAGATTATATATAAAAAACCTTTAGTTTTTTGTTTAAACTTTAGCTAACTGGGACGACTGAGGGCGGCAAAAGAGGATTTCTGTTGCGCGAGACGAACAGCTAATGTACTGTAGCCTACTACAAAATGTAACGTTAGCTTAGAGACAGAAATTTATTTAAGAAGTCTACTAAAGTCTGTACTAAGTAAACAACTAGACCTTTTCATGTTTAGACAATTTTAACATCTATTCACACATAGCTCAACAACCCCTATTGTAGTGTTAGGCTATTACGCAAATCACAGTTTCGCCACTTGCTCTGTCATTGAAGTCGAATGCGCACATCTGCTTTGCACATCTGTAGTGTACGACTCCAAAGTCTGATCAGAGCCTATGTGATTCTTTTATGAAAAACGCCAAACTCCTATGACTTGTTTTAAGTTGACAGTTCAGCAAACTATCAATGTCACCACGAAATCTGGCACATAACTGACATCTCTATTGTAAGTGATCGATCCACTGCGCCTGTGGATTGATCCTGCTCTAGCTGACCACATTGATTTTGGTTTAAGGTATTTTTGGAGATCATAAATACTAATGAGCTAAGGGGGACGACGTGGGAGAACGTATCCCTTGAGAGAACCGTTGATAAATCACCTACGTGAAAGTGATCTGTCCTGAGAGATAGCAAGGGGTTTGGCACTTAAATGTTTAGATGATATACGGCTAGACTGCAAAAATTATATATATATTCTGCACTCTGTTCATATATATATATATATATATATATATATATGTAGTAGTTAATCAATCATATTATTATAGCCGATTGCATTTATTAATGTTATATAATTATCGCATATTTTATAATAAACTTAAGTTGTGAACCGACTTAATAGCTAACTAACTAACTAACTAACAAATAAATAAATATTATACTGTGAACAAAAATGCATTGATCAGTCTACGGAGAACAGTAGGCTATTTAAGAGCAGTCAATTGCGCATCTTTAAAAAAAAAAAAGAATAAGCAACATCAGATCCATACCTAAGTAATCTTTCATGTAATATCTACTTTGAGGCATGCTCTTAGCTGTTGGGCTGGAAATTTTCTATATCAATCACTCATAGTATCAACGATTGCCATCAAACAGTTCGTTTCCTTTGTGTTAATGACCCTTCTTTTGTGCGTAATGAATCTTTGATCTCTGATATCTTTGATACTTCATCTCAACTCATGCTATGCTGCAACTGTTCAAAGGCACTTCGACATCAGTCAGGGCTGACAGTGCAGTGATGGCGTTTGCACAGATGTGAAGGTTGTTTTGACTGTTTCTTCTTTTTTCTCTTAAAGTTTCATGCACGCTTTATAGGTCATAAATGTACACCTGGCTGAGGCAGCCAAGCGACGTTTAAACCCAGGAATGACGATACACTTTAAAATAAGCTTTATTTTTAAAAATAAAATAGAAGTACGTTTTATAAAAAAAATAAAATTCCAGTCTTTCAACTTAAGAATTTCACGTTTAATTCAATGTAATACTTGCCGTTTCTTTATAATTAATTCACTAGCAATTTCTAAATGAAAAAATGATTCTACACGTTTTTTTTTTCAGCGTATAAATCATATCGCAAATCAAGAAGACACTTTTTGGACTAATACTACTACTACTAATAATAACGCATAGCCTACGCACTACACACCTTGAAGTCTTGCCTCTCTCCCTCGCTCTCTCTCGTTCTCCATCGAGCACCGCCCCCTTTCTTTTCCTTTTTTTCCTTTTTTTCCCTCCTTGGCTTCCACCTGCTTCACACTAGAGATTCGCCAGAGCGCGTCAGTGCGCGTAAACCCCGGGGATCGGAACGGATCGGTACACAGTGCGCATCCCTCTTCTCCATCCAACTGCACTTTTCTTTTCCTCGTTGCAAAGATTTGTACAGTGATCTCCACAATGTTGCTTTCTGCACTTTTATCATAATCCATCAATGGATTAAAAGCGTGGATGCAGATGAAACCGATCATCAAAGAAGACATAAGAAGAGGATCAAACGATCAAGGAGTTATGTTTCAAACAGTCATCTATAAAGGACTCAATTAGCATATGTCAAGAGGGCATTTACATAAGGGCCATATTTAGGCTGGTGTCTCAGAGCAGAGCCACTCACATCCAGAGAGCACAAGAGGAGAGAAGCCGCATAAGCTTGTGTGCTGGAGTGCGTAAGAGAGAGTATTTGATACACAGGGGACCGGAGCAAAGGGGAGTAGCCTGGAAGGTCGAGAGAGCATGTGCTAAAACCTGAAGAGAGAGAAAGAGAGAGAATCGGATGTAAACACGCATTGACTGTCAAAGCCGCAAGCAGTGACTGCGCAAAGCACTAGGGAAAGAGAAACCACAGGGGTTCTCCTCACGACAACTTTTCTTCGAGTGTCGGTGATGGGTGCAGTCGGCGAGCTGGTGGGCAGCTTCTCTCACGGCTTGGAGAGCTTTGCGCACGGGGCTCATTTCGTCCTCACGCCCCCCGGGGACTCCGGTGCTCTGATGAACGAGCACATCGTCTCCGCCGAGCGCCTGTCACGCAGCACTTCACCGGACCTGACGCATCTGAAAGGGATCCTCCGCCGCCGGCAGCTCTACTGCAGGACCGGCTACCACCTCGAGATATTACCGGACGGATCGGTGCAAGGCACGAGAAAAGACCACAGCAGATTTGGTAAGTGTTATTTATCGTTATTTCATTACAGCCAGCCAGTGCTGCTAATATACTATAGTAATAACCATACAACACTGTGCATTCACAAGCATATCCATAACGCAACTGCACATGATGTTCATTTATGTAGAGATTGACCAGGACTGATGATTATTGTAATGGTTAAAACTCTGATATCAAGACATTTCAATAAAAACATATGCATTATGAATATTTTAATAATGAAATTGCTGACTATTGGTACTTATGTAATTGCAATGCAATGTAAAATCTGATGATATTATTATGACGACAGTGATTATTATTATTATTTTCATAAACCTGTGTTCCAATAACAGTATAACATAGCAAAACACAGTGATTAAGTGTGAAAGACGTCATGAATTAAGTACAGGGCAGTTTGATGCCACTATTGCAGGTGCTGTCTCAACAACGGGGAACTAACAGCTGTGCTTTTCTCACAGGTATATTGGAATTCATTAGCCTCGCTGTGGGGATGGTGAGCATCCGTGGTGTGGACAGCGGACTGTATCTGGGAATGAACAGCAAGGGCGAACTGTACGGATCTGTAAGTATATAGCAATGCTCCAATATATTTTCTTCCAGTTTCCAGTTCTTCCTCTTACTGGTATATTATTTTGAGTAATGCAACAATTAATTTCATTCATATCGTGGCCGTGCTGAATTGAGAGAGTGATTTATGGTGTAATTTCAAATAGCCTTTGGACACAGTTTATTCTTGCATTTGCAGTGTGATTAACCCTTGCCCTCCCTCTTGTTCTCTTAGGAAAAGCTGACAGCGGAGTGTGTGTTCAGGGAGCAGTTTGAGGAGAACTGGTACAACACTTACTCTTCTAACCTGTATCGACACGGCGAGCGAGGATCCCATTATTACGTAGCCCTCAACAAAGACGGAACGTCTCGAGATGGAGCTCGCTCTCGGAGGCACCAGCGCTTCACGCATTTCTTGCCTCGGCCTGTGGATCCAGAGCGCGTTCCTGAGCTTTACAAGGAGATACTAGGTCACAGCTGAAGCCACTGAACCTCAAATTCAACCCCCCCAAAAAGCACCTGCATGCTCTTTATCCCCCTCGGACAAACCTGTCTCAGGAGAAAGCAGCGCAGACGAGGGGGAAAAGAGGCCCTCTTTTGCGGGCCAAAGTGAGACCATTAGCAGGAGATGGAAAGCCCTTGATTGGAGTGGCAGGAACCAAATGTCTGGATAGTTCCTGAAGAACAGATCCATTCACACCTGCTGTATGTAGGACACGAGGGATTTTGGATTAAAAGAGAGCACTGGTGGACTTCTGATGGATAACTACTACTACTACTACTGAAAATTCTAGAAGGCTTCTGAAGGAATTCTGTGAAATGCTTTTGAGATTTCCTACTCTTCCAAACACTGGCATGGACAAACAGGAGACAAACTCCTCCAAACATTTCTCTTTAGGTCCTTTAATTTATGTTTTTTTTAAAAAAGATATTTATTTTATATATTTATTTATTTTGAAAGTATATTTTTACAAGAATATATGCAAGATGTAACAGGACGTCATGAGAGCTTTATTTTCTACCACTATAGAGACATGACTTCTAGAGATAGAACTACTGAAGAAAGTATTTTCTTATGAGTTGTTAATTTTTTGGTTGTATGTGATCCACCAATCTCTCATGTCATTAAACCAGATCCTTAAGAGCCTGAGAATGTTCCAGAATTCACTGGGGAATTAAACAGTTCAAATGACTGCATTTCGTTGTGTCTGTCCTTTCAGTAGAAACATAAGGTCACCTGTCAGAGGTGAATGGTTATTGAATTTCTATTTGGAAAAAAAGGTCGACTTTTAGGGAAACGTAAGCAGGGACAGCAGGTGTCTACAGCTGTCCGATTCTCATTGATCCCGTTGCCTTGAAATGAAATCAAATGAGCTTTTAATCACTTAAAAGCCTAAACAGTTATGCAAAACTGTGCACAATAATACAATTTGCTAAAAATGTTCATATCATGCTTCAGGATCTTTCCATTTCACTCTCTCTCCCTCAATACCCTGCTGTTAAAAAGGCAGCACAATGCTAACATTAAAACACAATGACCTAAAAACAATTCCCCCTCCCGTTTTCTTATTACAGCAACCTTCTCAAATGACACCTTGGGCTGTAAAGGAAACCCTGCACAAAGTGGCCTTTTCTTTTGCTAAGTGTCTTGTGAAAGCCATGCACTAGGAGCTTTGAAAGCTGTTGTAGAATGCAGGATTGTGGGATATACGTTTGCTGAGCCAGTGCAGGTGGAAGTTTTCTTAGGAAGCATGAGGTCATTTCAAGACAGGCAGAGTCACGTGTGGTCTGAAACACCACAATTACACTGACTGGCAAGTGCTTTGTGTTTTTCCCATCTCTTATTTCTTTTTTTGTTTGATGCTTTTCACTTCCTTTCCCCCCTTACGGTTGTGATTCATTGGCTTTGATGACACTTGATGAGCTGGCTGCCTGTCAATCTGGCTGTCTGTGAGAGTGAGGTGACTGTATGTGTGTTTAAGGAAGGAAATGTTACTTTTTAAGTAGTGTAAGGGGAGAGGTGGCTCTGGGGCACACATGCGTTTCCTAAATAACACTGGTATGAGGGCTCTTGATCACACTACAGAGAAATAGGGCAGATGGGGAGCACTCTAACACTTTTTTTTTGCACTCTCTCCAACTTTTATATAATATTTCCACTTTTAAATGCTACAAATTGAAATAGTTTAGAAATATACTATATCTCTAAATAGTGTGAATACGTGCAAGTGCATTACTATCAGTTACTGGGGCCAGCTGGAACACAACAATTATGCCATTTATGAACATTTTAATTCAAAACAGCAGATAAAATGGTTGAAAACAAAGAAGAAAAAAAACACTACACTGTTAAAAGGGTCCGTATACTTTTTTATAGAAATGCTTTTATTCAGCAAGGATGTATTAAATTGATCGAAAGTGACAGTAAGACAATCATAATGTTACAAAATATTTGTATTTCAAATAAATGTTGTTCCTTTGAATTCTATTCATCAAAGACTCCTGGTTTAAAAATTGTATCAGGGCTTCCACAAATATATTAAGCAACTGTTTTCAACACTGACAATAATAATAAGAAATGTTTCTTGAGCAGCAAATCAGCATATTAGAATGATTTCTGAAGGATCATGAGGACTGGAGTAATGATGCTGAACATTCAGGTTTGCCATCAGAGGAATAAATGCAATATAAAATATTTTAAAATAACTATTTTCTATTTTAATTTGTAATAATATTTAACTATATTACTATTTTACTGTATTTAATTTAAGTTTAAATAAATGCAGCCTTGGTGAGCATTAGAGACTATATATATATATTTTTTTTTTGAATGCTAGTGGTTTTATTTTACTATGCAAAAAAAGAAAAAGAAAAAAGAAAAGGCATAGTAAAGACAAAAAGCTGATAGGAAACAAAGCATACACTGAATATAAGAATATAATCAGTTATTAATAATTTGTTGGTTCTCTTGATTTTGATTACAGCAATCATTCTCCAGGCCAAACAAAAATATGTTTTGTGCACGTGTCATGCATAATTTCTTTGTATGACATGTTTTATTGCATTATTACAAATGAAACAATTCAGTGCCTACATTTGTTTTACACTCCAACTATGCAGAACGCTTGCAAAATCCTTAATAATAAAATGTTTGAATAAAGGGTGAAGATGTCCATTTTCCTAGGCCGGACATCACTTTTGGCCACTACTGTACATAAAACAGACTAATTCTGAAATGTGACAGTGTTAACTCTCACAACTGTGGCAAATGTAGCCTAAAATCTTTGTGGTTCTAAATACAATATAAAGTAACACTTCAACCCTATCTGTTTAGCCATGATATTTCTACTTTGTATAGCATGTAGATCAAAAACCTGTTTGTTTGTTATATATCAAATTAAAATTCTAATAATACCAATTCAGTCACTTAACATCTATTAAGTCTCAAATAAAAGTAAAAGTAAATCAAATGCAACATTTTCATGACAGAACTATCCCTTAAGGTAGCAATTACAGGTTACCATGTTTTACTGAGTTGTTGAGTGTATCTCAACATTGTTTTTTTAAATGTTGAGTAGCAGCGTGACAGATAGAGAAATAAAAAAAGTTGACAGCAGAACTTTACAGCTTACATAACTGACATTATGTGGGGTGGGAGTGTCTGAACTGTGTGCCTTTTCCCCTTTTTGGGGCGTTGGAGGGTGGGATGATACTTCTATTTGTGTGCGCAGGCATATCAGCAAGCTCTGTATGTTGTGTGATCTCTAAATCTCTGTGATGATGAGCCAGGGGTTCCCCTAACTGAGAGTCAGTCTGCCTGCACACACACACACACACACACACACACACACACACACAGGGGTTTTCCCCCAAGCAGAAACACTGCTACAGCTAAAGGATGTGGTGAGGCTGATGTGGCCAGATCGACAGATCTACTTTTCATTATTTTAACCTCAGAGAGAGATAGAGAGAGAGAGAAAGAGAGACACTGTCTATGTATGTGAGAATGCATGTGTTTGGACAATTACAACACATGTGTTGTTCTAAGACAGGTGTTGAAGTGAGTGATCTTTCACCTGCATGTCTTTGTGGCTCAGGTAAAATCTGCACAGGTGTTCATGCGGCACGTCAAAGGTACACACGCATATATACACACTCCACTGATAATGAGAATGAGAGAAGAAGTGTACGATTTTGGATATCTTTCAACTGTATCTCCAAGACAGCAAAACAATTCAATGGAGATAAGATAGAGACTTCTGCTTAAATCTTGTACTTCTCAGATTCTTCTTCTTAGAACAAAAAAAAAAACAACAAAAAATCTCATATGTGAGAAAGAGCTCTGGAAAAATGTTACAAAGTGCAAAGACACCAAGTCTGTATAGTCAGTCTTACGTGTCTTACTAATGTTCAGAAGAAAAATCTACAAGGTTCACTCTATAATAATGTCTTCTGAGAAGGTACAGAGAGAAAGTGAAAAAAATTGAACAAATGAGTGAGTTCCTCTTTCTGCCACAATGTGATGTTTTTGGTTGACAAGCTCATTATAAGTGCAGTAATGTTCAGTGTTAACATAATCACTGTTTGTGCCTTCATATCTTCTGTGGTATTAGCTGAACCACTAATTCATCTAGTGCGCGCACACACACACACACACACACACACACACACCAAAGCAAAGACACAAGAGATACACAAGATACACGTTAAATCACTATGTTCTTTATCTCGTTAAATAGTTGTTTTCTTGTTTTTGTAGATTTCTAATTAAATTCAATCTAGGCATGTAATGTAAATTGGTGTTACCATGGTACTAAAAAGGTAATACCATGATTTATGTCAAAAAAAAAACAAGCTATTAATATGCACAAGTTCACAAAAACAAAACCTCCCATGACATATTGTCCCAAAAACATGGCTTTACCATGGATGTCCAAAAATCATTGTAATACCATGTTACTTTTTGCTGTTCTTTTCTGCACAGACTTTACATCTGTTTAAATCAACCTGCATTTATTTAAAATGCTTTGATTCAGCTAGATTTTATTTGAATGATTAGTCATTTTCTACCCCCCAATAAAATCACAGCTTATATTTTGCCTTGAAGATAAATTTAATCCAAAACATGTAGACGTACAGTGATAAAGAAGTTTCATTTATCTAAAGAGAGGAAGTTGGCTGTGACAGTGACAGTTTTAGCATGATGGATGAGAAAGACTAAGTCTGTGCTCCTCATCCTGAACTCCTCTTTAAGCTTTGGGAGGAGAGAGAGATTGAGTATTGCCTCGGGGTTCAGTTTAATTGACAGCGTGCTCCCAAAAGATGATCCTCTAATTTGCATGACTTATTGAGAACATGCCTTGTGTCAATGCAGCAGATTTGGCCTACAGTTCATTCTTATATTCTTAATGGGATAAAATGCTTCAGCTGAGGAGGAGGGAAAAGAAGTGCCAAGGAGAATGTAAAGCATACCATTCTACTGCTGTCTATTTAACGAAATAGTTCATATAAAAATGAAAATTTAGTCATCATTTACTCACCTTCATTTAATTTAAAACCCATAGATTTTTTTATTAATTACAAATTATTTATCATT